ATGTTCTGACCCGAATGACATATCACCGCAAAGTTGATCATGCTTATCCATGGTCTGACATGAAAATGACATATCACTGCAATGTCCTCCACATCTCTCAATGATTTGACCAAAAAATGGACACCCTCTGCAAAGTTGATCACACTTATCCATTTTCTGACCCGAATGACATATCACTGCAAAGTTGATCACGCTTATCCATGGTCTGACATGAAAATGACATATCACTGCAATGTCCCCCACCTCTCTCAATGCTTTGACCCGAAAATGGACACCCTCTGCAAAGTTAATCACACTTATCCATGTTCTGACCCGAATGACATATCACTGCAAAGTTGATCACGCTTATCCATGGTCTGACATGAAAATGACATATCACTGCAATGTCCCCCACCTCTCTCAATGCTTTGACTCGAAAATGGACACCCTCTGCAAAGTTGATCACACTTATCCATGTTCTGACCCGAATGACATATCACTCCAAAGTTGATCACGCTTATCCATGGTCTGACATGAAAATGACATATCACTGCAATGTCCCCCACCTCTCTCAATGCTTGACCCAAAAATGGACACCCTCTGCAAAGTTGATCACACTTATCCATGTTCTGACCCGAATGACATATCACTGCAAAGTTGATCACGCTTATCCATGGTCTGACATGAAAATGACTTATCACTACAATATCTCCAACCTCTCTCAATGCTTTGACCCCAAAATGACCTCTCACCTCAAAGACTGTCACGCCTATCAATGCTTTGACTTGAAAATAATCACTCCCTACAAAGGTTGCCACACCTTTCAAATTCACTACTATAAGAACATAACATCTACTAAATCCTTCACACACTTGAATATCTTCAAACATCTTATCATATTCCTCTCTCCCACATTTCTACAATGAATTTTAATTTTGGCAATTCGTCATCTTCTTCATCTGATTCTGAGGATGATCATATGCTAATTATGAATGCTCTTCGTAAAAAAAACAAGCAGTGATAGCTCAAGTTATCGCTAACGACAACATCATCATTCAACATCTTATCAATCAACAAAATCAAGAAGCCTCCCATGGAGGTTCTGTTCCCGGACATATTTTTATCAATCGTGATCGCGAGGCTGCTGATCGTAGGTTGTACAATGATTATTTCTCAGAAAATCCATCGTATAACAAGACCATGTTCCGAGAAGATACAAAATGTCTCACTTGTTGGTTCTTCGAATTGTCGACGCAATCAAAGATCATGATCACTACTTTCAACAGCGAGTGGATCAAGCTGGCAGACTTGGATTGTCTCCAATACAAAAATAACTGTTGTCTTTCGTATTTTGGCATACGGTGTTCCAGCAGATGCTACAGACGAGTATGTTAAAATTGGTGAGTCCATTGCAATTGAAAGTATGAAAAAAATTGTCGATCGATAGTTGAGGTATTTGGCGAGCGATATCTGCGGAGGCCCACATCTGATGATATTTCCAGACTTCTATACATTGGCCAACAACGTAGTTTTCCAGGAATGTTGGGGAGTTTAGATTGCATGCATTGGAGGTGGAAAAATTGCTCTACAGCGTGGGCTGGCCAGTATGCTGGTCGTAGTGGAAAGCCTACAATCATTCTTGAAGCTGTAGCAGATTATGATCTATGGATATGGTATGCTTATTTTGGTTTGTCGGGCTCCAACAACGACATCAACGTTCTAGAATCATCTCTTTTTTTTTTTATCTGACCCAGGTATTGCTCCTCCAGCTCATTATATAATTCAAGGAAAAGAATACAACATGGGTTATTATTTAGCTGATAGAATATATCCAAAATGGTCTACCATTGTGCAAACAATTCATGAGCCACGTGGTCCAAAGAAAAAATATTTTGCAATGAAACAAGAAGCATGCAGAAAAGATGTTGAACATGCATTTGGAGTTCTTCAATCACGTTTTGGCATTGTAGCAGGACCAGTACGTTATTGGCGAAAAGAAGTGCTACATGATAACATAACCACATGTATAATTTTGCATAACATGATTGTCGAGGATGAACGTTACCTAAGTGCACCAATAGAAACTAAAATAGAAACGCCGCCGCCGGAAGTCGAAATAGCAGTAGATGAAAGTACTCGATTTCAAAGATTTATATCTCAGTACGAAAAAATTAAGAATAAAGATGACCATATTGCACTTCGGAATGCACTAATTGATCATTTGTGGGAAGAATTTGCCAACTCCGAGACTTGAAAGACTATCTATTTTTACGTGATTGTTGCAATTTTCTATTTTATCTTGTGTGTTGTAATTTTTAAATTTCTATCTTGTGTATTGTAATTTCTAATTTTATCTTGTGCGTTGTAATTTTTTATTTTATCTTGTGTGTTGTAATTTTTAACTTTTCATTTAGTGAATTATAATTTTTAATTTTATTTGTGTGCTCAAATTTTAATTTTATTTGTGTGCTCAAATTTTTAAATTTTCATTTAGTGAATTATAATTTTTAATTTTATTTGTGTGCTCAAATTTTAATTTTTAATAAACTAATTTCTCTGATTTTATTACGTATAATTAATTCTAATTACATAAAATCTAAATTGTAAGAATTAATTAATTTCTCTGATTTTATTATGTATAAACTTATTATGTATAATTAATTCTAATTTTATTTCTCTGATTTTATTATGTATAATTAATTTCTCTGATACCAATAAGAAATTAGGGGACAACGGTGCGGTCCCACTAACATGAAGCGCACCATGAGAGGGAAAAGCCCATATGAAGCCCAAATGGGGTTCCATCGCAAAACCAATTGGTGGAAGGAGAAGTAGCCCATTAGACTTATAAGGTGGGTCTATTTTCCATGTATGAACGATGTGGGACAACTCACAAGTGATATTCTAACACGCCCCCTCACTTGTGAGTCCTTCGGAAGCCCAAGCCCAACTGGGTGCCCCAAGCCTACTAGAAGTAGACTCCCATAAACGGGTACGTGGGGAAACAGACTCCTATAAACGGGTACGTCATCACACGGTCCCAATAGAACCGGCTCTGATACCATATAAGAAACTGGGGGAAAAACAATGCAGTCTCACTAACATGAAGCGCACCATGAGAAGGGAAAAAACCCATATGAAGCCCAATGGGGTTCCATCCCAAAACCAATTGGTAGAAGGAGGAGTAGCCCATTAGACTTATAAGGTGAGTCTATTTTCCATGTATGAACGATGTGGGACAACTCACAAGTGATATTCTAACACGCCCCCTCACTTGTGAGTCCTTCGGAAGCCCAAGCCCAACTGGGCGCCCCAAGCCTACTAGAAGCAGACTTTCAAGTAAACTCCCATAAACGGGTACGTGGGGAAGCAGACTCCCATAAACGGGTACGTCATCGCACGGTCCCAATAGAACCGAGCTCTGCTACCATGTAAAAAACTGGGGGAAAAAGGTGCGGTCCCACTAACATGAAGCGCACCATGAGAAGGGAAAAGTCCATATGAAGCCCAAGTGGGGTTTCATCCCAAAACCAATTGGTGGAAGGAGGAGTAGCCTATTAGACTTATAAGGTGGGTCTATTTTCCATGTATGAACGATGTGGGACAACTCACAAGTGATATTCTAACAAATTGAATTTAAAATGATAGTGTGGTTTAATTTGTAAAGTTGATAAATATGTGAGTAGTATTGAAAAGTTATAAAAGTTGGTGTAAAAGAGAATATTCTGAGAATATTCTTTTGGGTATGAGAATGAGTTTGTCGGTTAGAGATGAATTACTGCAAAATGGGTTTGAGTTTGGGTTTTTCGGTTCGAGATGACCTTATTTGGATGGAAATTATTTCATGAAGAATATGAATCAAATCTGCATATATAAACTCCACAATTAATTAAAAATTTACTTTAAATATCTGCCATATAAATCCGGG